GGGGGGGGGGAATAAACACAAGGGGCAAAAAGGGATGTGGAGGCACACAAACTGTCTTCAGGACCCTGCAGAGGCTGCAAATCCTTGCAGCGTTCCAGGTTTGGTACTGCTAAGCGACTCGGAGGGCAACGGGCTAGGTTCCAGCCTTCGACTGAAAAGATGCCCTTCCCAACCCAGCAGCTAAACCCTTGGCGCCTTACTGGCGAAGACAGGAACGATTTCTTCCTTTTTCCTAAAGGATGCTCTCTTTCCATAGTAGTGCTCCCTAGCTCCATCATGCTCGGCACTTTGGTGCGTGGCACAGCTGGAGCTGCAGGGTCTGCCCTAGGCCATTTCGCAGGCTAACGGTGTGTGGGACTTCTAGTGCAGGCCCTGGTGCTGTGCTCTTTGGCCTGAACCAGACTGAAGCCCTTGCAGAGCCCTGGGGAGGGGGGAGCAAGAACATGTGTAACTCGAAGCTGAACCAAGTCCAGCCCCGGATCTGAACTAACCAGGACTTACTGTCTCATAAAGGGACTTTGGAAACTTGGAGCCTGATTACCTGGCTAGATGCAGTGGGCAGGGACTACTGCGGTAGTGTTCGTCAGCCTTCATGACCCGGTTCATCTCCGTGACTGGACCTCAGCGGCACTAAGCAGCAGTTCCCAGGTTACCGCTGCTGTCCTGGGCATTGGGAACGCTGCTGGCTCTAGCTGCCCCCAAGTATCGGGTGACGCCGGCTGACCCATAGCTGCCAGCGCTCTTAGTCCCTTAACAGAGACCACCGAACAGCCAAGTCCTCAGCCTGCTTCAGCACTTTTTTTTTTGGTTGCTAAGCCAGCCTGAAAACAACCCGCGAGCAGCGTGCCGTACAGCACGATGCCCACTTCCGAAGTGCAGAAACTGCTCAAATAAATAGGAAGGGCAGGGGGAGAAGGAAAAAGCTGGCTACAGGGTGGCTGCTGTTAACTGCACAGGAAACTATAAGCTTGCAGCCTCTCCCTTCTTCCAGTACCAAAGAAAACGCTCCTGAAGCAGTTCTCACCTCCCAGCAAGGGCCAAAGGCCTCACAACTTTCCAGCACCTACACAGCTGTTTCACATTTAAGCTTAAACAAAAACACAGGCTTGTGTTCAAGCCAGACAACTGGGGCATTATTCAGTTAGCAACATCAGTACTTTGCCCCCCCCC